CACCGTGTCACGGCGTCCCACTGTAACTCTCAGATTCAGCTGCTCTGAATCGACTCTACCTAGCGTGACCTCCTTGGCCGTCACACAAAAGATTGAGTTTTCAGAGCGGGCTGCAGATAATCAGTCATTTCCTCCCGTCGCAGCGTCTCTGCCAAGCAAACATCTTTTCCATCTTCATATTACACTATCTCTGGTGAATCACATCTCCTGTTTGCAGCCTAATTGCTCTTTAAAAACTCCTGTCTAATTCCTTTATCTGATCACTCTTTGGCTGCAGGAACATCTTAAACCCTTCTCTATATATTTCTCTGAATTTCCATGTACAGATTATCAGCTTTATACTTGAAGAGTAAAAAATGTAAATGTCAGAGTTAGTTTTCAGAGGCAACAGGCTGCAAGCGAGGGGTAGAGGAGTCGTTTTTCTGAATAAAACCCCAGTGGATCGAGAAGTGGGTCGGGTGTTTTCAGACGTTTTGCAGTGGGAGGCGTTGCAGAAATGTCCGCAGCGAAAGTAGGTCTCGGTTAACCTTGATAAATCTCTTGTATAACTGAAAAAACAGAGAAAACATTTTTCCAAGAGAAGAAAAGAAAGAAGAGGGGGAAAGGTGTTGTGATTTGACTGATTGGGGTCTGTCCTTTGAGAGCCAATGTTCAAAGGACAAAGATTTCCTTTTTTGAGGGAGGCGATCAGTTAAACATGACAAAAACTCTTTGGTTTAATGTTGAAGTTTCTCAGAATTGAAGCATGGAGGCATATATTGTTCAACAGATCTTTTTCTTGCTAATTTAGCCCCATGTGGTCTGTCATTATTTTTAATTAACAAGACATGTTGATTAAGATTGAACTTCTTTTAGCTCTTCATTTTCCCTCCATCTTTTCTCTTTTGTTCCATTTGTTTCCATTCTTTAACACCCTGTGATGCTTTCCCTTGAGCTTGTTGTGAATTATATATGTTACATGCGTCATTTCTAAGAAAATGACCCTGCTTGAACATTATGCAGCCATATTCATCCGAGCACACTTTCTTTTGTGATCTTTCTTTACAACAACCTTATTACAGCAAACAAAGCGAGCCTGTGCCACTCTTGTTTGACATTTCCATGCGTGAAATATCTTCCTTAGACAAAGAGCCTTCTCTCTCTTTATTGCCTGGATGTGTGCTCGTGGGTGGAAGTCCTATTGTATGTCCTTGCACAATCGCTCCGTGTAGGCTCTGCACTCGGTGACATTATCCACTTTAGTGAACTCTGAGCTGAGACTTAGTCAGAAGATTGATTCCTCTGCTTTCTATCCTTCATATCCGCCATACTGCCACGCAGCTCATTGCCCACCTTTGGCACACGGCTCTATAGGCAGTCGCTTCAATTCAGAGAAGTGATTGATTTGTGCTCTCCACGGCTGTATTTACAACACAGGACTGTATTTGCAGTTCACAGGGCTGGCAACTTTTTCTCACACAGTGTGATACGTTAGGGAGGCGTTATCAATGGTACTGATGAGGTGTTGCAGCTTGCCTTGACAAAGGAAGAGAAAAGGACGGCTCTAAGTCTGGCTTTCATACTCAAAAGTACATTAGTTGACTGTCACTTTATGTGAGTTAAGTTTGCCTTAGTGCCTTTTCTTTACATCCACACAATCAAAGCATTAAATGGAAAGGGAGGAGCTGCGTGTGGGTCACTGCAGAACTTAAAACAACATGTTGAATCAACAATGTCAGGCATTATAAATGATGGCAGACAATAATTCATCTCATAGCAAGGGCAAACATTTCTGTGGATGCAGCCAGTCAAGCCAAGCACCTGTCTCCAAGTAGAGCTGCCTGCAACAGTTAGTCTAAAGCCCTTTTTACAGTGAAGTTCTGCTACAGCGCCACAACAAAGCTCCGCCATCATCACATGTTAAGACATCCATATTGACCTAATTTCATTATTCTTTATGTCTGTATTTTAATTTACACACGTTTCCATCAACGGCACCAGATTTAGAATCTTAAATTATCTCTAACTTTAGACTCCCTTTTTTTGTATCTTGGTCTTACCGATACTTTTCTTACCCCTACATCACTCGTTCAAAACAAGCACCTCCATGCAGCGTCCAAAGCGTCCTGCACATACCTCCTCGTAATTATCACACAAAGGGGACGTCACATTCCTGCCCATCCAGGACGAGTAAAAGGAACACTGGCACTGTACACCGGATGTTGAAACTGCTGAAGGACTTGATGGAGTAGATAAACACAGGCGAGGATTATACACCTCGTCTTAGACCGAGTCACAGCATTCATCAGGGGATACAGAATCACAGCAGAGAAGGTTATCTGGGGACAACATCCAGGTAAAACATCAGAACTGGTTCTTTATCTTTTGTTGCCGTGAGCTGATCTGTGGTGGGGGAAATATAATCATTCGTCACCGTTAATTTTCTGAACTCTACTGGAGGAACACAACACCTGAAATGCATGATGGGCTATCTCAAGGCTCGTACAAACCAGTGCCATGAATATTGTTTGCATTATTTCATTAAGAGTGTCTTTCCAACAAGTCCTCTTCACACTGTATCCTTCTGCAAGCAGTGTCACACCAAAGGGCATCTCGGCACTGCTTTGTCATGAAAAAGCAAGGAAGCAAAGGAATTCTTTTTTCTTTGCTCGATCGTGAGGGATTTAAAACTCTTTCATTTTGCTTTCATAACTTGGTAGTTTTCAAATATGTTTTTATTGAAAGAAATTAAATGGAGAATTCAAAACAAATCGAGAATGGGATTTGTTTGCTTTTGCTAAAGTGTAAGCGAGGACCGATATTAAAACTGCATGAACCACATGCTAAATGATCTTTCCCGTGGAGTTTTCTGTGCTCATTAGCGTGGGCAAACTCTTTTTTTTCACAACATGAAATAATACACATACCTGTGTTTTTTTCTTTTCTGCCATGTTTGAATGAAGTTTGGCTTAATGAATATCAGTTTCCTCAACATTTTTAAAACTGTCTGCTCCAAAACCAGGACTGTTTTTTCACAGCCCTCTCTTTTTCGTTTCGGCCTTGCGCTCTGGATCTCTTAGCCAACAGTTCACAGCGGCACCTGTTGCTGTGAAATAGTTCAGGGGCTTCATGGGAAAATGGATTTTGACGAGAGAGGGAAAAAAAATGCTGTCAGAGCTGCTGTGAGCCACAGTGACCTGGCTTGCCAGTGAAGTAGCCGCTCTCCTTCTCTCTTCCATCTGCAGCTGTTAATGTTGCTGAAAAGAGACCTGTGGTGCTTTCAGGGCCCCGCGTCTGCATTAGCTGGCTTTACGTAAGCAGCCATTTTATTGAAGAATACATGGTCTTCCTAAAGGTGGCCTCCAAAAAAACAAGCTGAGGCCTAATATCTGAAAGCTTCTGCTGTGACTTGAGACGACACTGTCAGGGCGATGCAGGACAAACTCCTTTTTCTGGCAGAGGAGAATGGATAATCACCATATAAATGGGAACATTATTCTTTATTTGTCCTGCACTTTTCTGTTAAATTACAGAGCATTTGGGGACATGTAAAGAACCAATAAATAAAAGTGGGAAAGGTTGCAAGATTGCAAATGATTGCAGGCTGGAAGAATGTAAAAAGAAAGGACCTGAAAGTTCGTAAAACAGCGATAAACACATAAATACGAGAGCCTTTTTGTGAAACACGTTCTGCTAATAGTCCAATTACATCTGCCCAAGAGGGCTTTATACAAAGAATTGAACTGCAGCAAAAAAAAAGCCAGCGGAACCCTTCAGAAACAGAACATAAAATACATTTAAATAGTTTGGGTAGACACTAGACAGTGTGCTCTCTCTTCCCTTTGCAGTAGCTTTGGGTTGAACATATGACTGAAGATCTTTTTGAAGCTTCAGTGCTTTTTGAAATCATCAATCGCTATAATAATAGACATTGAATGCTTTTAAAAGACTTAATGGAACATGTTGATACATATTTACAGACATGTTAGACTGCTGCATGCATTGAGAACATCGCCTGACTCTGAACACATTTCTGACTAATGCCAGAGGCCTAATGAAGTTGATAACCCTTTGACACACACACACACACACACACACACACACACACACACACACACACACACACACACACACACACACACACACACACACTTTTCCAGAGTGTGATGATGTGTTTTTCACACAAACAAGTTAAGTAATAGGTTCACAATATGAGAGGAAGAAGCTGGCTGATTAAGTGGGATTTTGAGCAGTTGTGTCTGAGTGGAAAATAAAAAATAGAAATACCATAGAAGGCAGATCCTGGCTGCCTTTGAGTCTGGACCGTTTGGTTTGCATCACCATCGAAGAAAGCAGACGCTAGGCCGACCATCTTCAGTCCCGTCAGCAGTCCAAAGTGGACTAACTCTCTGACAGGTGATGAGAGGCGGCAGCAGCAATGCTAAACTGACAAGCTGTCATGCAGTGTTTTTCCCTGGATATCAGTTTGCAAAAAAGCTGCTGCCTGCGTTCACCAGCAGGAAATCAGAGTCTTTTTTATTTTGGCGGGGAGGAAAAACTATTGACTCACTCTTGAACAGGATTTTCTGCTTCCCTCTGTAACTTTTCTCTGTCATGCCCGGCTGGTTTTGATTGTTCATGTTTGAAAAGCTTTCACTTTTCATAGGTGTATTGACTCTCCTGAATCACTTTGTTAAAAAAAGGACCAGGGAGGTGAATTTCATGAGCCCTAAATGTTTTTTGACTTTACTTTATTTCATACTCTCAGGTGGCTAAGATATTTCCTACCACAAGTTATTGATAGAAAAATAAATGATCTTCTTTGGAGGAAAATAACATTTATATCTCCTTGCTTCAGTGGCTTGTAAATCTTTAAATTCAAAAGCTGCTTCCACAAGTTTTTGAGCATTTACCTTGGTAGAGTAACAGCTTTCTCCTGTAGTAAAAGTCAACAGAGCATCGATTTTTGTCTCTTCAATTTGATGGAAAAATTAAAGAGATGTCCTGTTTGTCCTCTGCAGGTGCCATCCTGGGACGCTCGGAGACTCAGGAGTGCGCCTACTACAACTCCAGCTGGGAGAAGGAACGCACCAACCGCAGCGGCATCGAGCCGTGCTTTGGCGACAAAGACAAGCGGCGGCACTGCTTCGCCACATGGAAGAACGTGTCCGGCACCATAGAGATCGTCAAGCAGGGCTGCTGGCTTGACGATGTCAACTGCTATGACAGGTACGCATGAACTAAAGGATACTCTACTTATCACTGCCTCTTTTGATTTCAATTGTATCTCAATTGTCATTATTTATATAGCTCTATTTTTGAGGAGCCAATCTGATTTCTGCTCTTTTCGCTCTCCTAAATAATCAGAAACAATTCTTAAAATATCCATTCATTGTCTAATTTTTGGTTTTCTTTGTTTGAAGGTCTGAATATTTGTCCACTGTTTGAATACTGTCTCCCCAATACTAGAAAAAATTGTGTTGATAATGCAACCCAAATGTTCTGCATCGTGTCTTAACTACCATATGTAGTTAGAATACTGCCTACTGTAAGTTTAAAAACCCTCCCTGACAATCTCCCTTTTCTTACAATCGGCAATCGGCTTTATATTGATGGTTTCTCAAAAGCTTTTGTCTCTTTGTGGCCTTCAGATTTATTTCTGCATTATAAAAGCGTTTACAATCTGTAGATTTCACCAGAAGTTTGAGGTGTCTATTCAAAAAAACTGAAAAAGTTGAATAACCTGAATATATTGTCTTCATTTGTGATATCATCGTCTCCACTTAAAACTTTTCAAAGGTTGCCGATGTATTCATCTGCTGCTGGGGAACAAGCAAATAATCCGTTCTGCACTTTGGATGGAGGTTTAAGTTACAGAAATCTGTATATTCATTCAGGACAGAAAGCAGCAGCACACGTCTCTCAAACATGACAAAGTGAGAGACGGCACGACTCTGAATACATTTAAAAAACACTTTAGGCGCAGTGTTTGTCCCTCTGTGTAAAAGACTCTTACAACATTTCTAATTCTCTAAAGTTGTCAGAAATCTAAAGTTCTCTGTGAATCTCTGCTTCAAGCTGATTCAGCCTGATGTATGTGTCCAGGCCGGTATCAGCAAACAGATATTAATAGATAGTTTTATTATAGTTTGTTCCTTGCTGGAACATCAACCCAGCATCAGACGCCGGTTGGAGCCGGTTCTGCTTGTGTTTGTCTTTGATTCCTGAGCGATAAAGTTGCTGTAGATTCTGCAGCCAGCACAGTTTGGGTACCTCTGCTCAGACGGCGCCGCCTCGCCTCCCTGGAGAGTCCAGAGCGAGTCGAGGGCGGCTGCCACTTCCTTTGGCTTTTATCTGATGACTGTGCGAGTGTGAAAGCTTGTGTGAGTGTGTGTGAGATGGTTAGTGCACATGTGTGTTTATTTGCATGTGTGTGTATTGGTGATGTGTGGGAGTTATTTTATAAATGTTTTTCTTTCACATCTTCTGCAGCAGAGAGGGGATGGAGAGGAGTGTGTGTTTGTGTGTAAGTGGTCCAAACGTGTGTGTGTGCTTTTAGAATACATCATATCTTCAGCAGTGAGTGCATGAAGAAGCACATTTCGCTCTATTTGTATGAGTGTTTCTTACCGATGACGTTTCTTTTTGCACTTATAAAAATCAAATTGCCTCCATGCTTTTTGCAGCGTGCCGATACAGGAGAGTGTTTTTGGTGTGTGTGCACCTTGTTTCTAATTTCCACCTCCCATGTCCTCTGCAGTAACGAATGTGTGGAGAAGAAGGAGAGTCCGGACGTCTTCTTCTGTTGTTGTGAAGGCAACATGTGCAACGAGAAGTTCCTGTACGCTCCTGAACCGCCCCCACAGAGCGACCCGCACCACTCGACCGCCTACAGTATGTACAGTCCAACATGTTCTCAAACACACGCGGATATCTTCCTCTAAATATTACAGTCAGGTCTATATTTCAGCTGTACCAAAAGATGTTTTTGTTGTCTTCGTCTTCATTCCTTCTTCATCTCCCTCCTTGTATTCTTCTTCGTCTTCTCCTTATTCTAATATTTCTGCCTCTATTGAAATGTACGTAAGATACTTTACAAAAGAGCAGGTTAAAGACTCTCTGTTATATCATCCACAAAGAGCAGTATGTGTTGTTGAAACTTTCTAGTGAGTTTGATGTATATTTAACTATTCAAACCAAACAGGTCATTAACACATCATCCGTGCTTTACTTTGAGGAAACCGCCCCTCAACAAAGTAAGATGTGAGGCACTTGTGTTCTGGATATTTGCCAGCTGCTGAGCTTCCAGGTGTCAACAAATATTTAAATGTTTTGAGGAAGCAAAAGTGAGAAAAACACATGAACCAAATGTTATAAACATCCAATTACAGCCCGAGATTGAAAACGTTGTCATTCGAAATGTATTTGCTTGTAATTGTGTCCATAACTAAGCTTCCTGTTGTCCACCACTGCTTCAAAGCCTTGGAATGATATATGTATAGCTGCCAATGCATTAGCGTTCAGTTTTCTTTCACTTAAGTTTGTATAATTGATAGTAGGCTAACATCCAAGTGATCTTAAAGAGTTAGCACTGCGCTAACACTCAATACTGAACATGAAACAGTATTTAAATACTCATGACAATACAAAGAAGGCTCCCGGTTTTCTTTAAAGATGGATTTCAGAGTGAGCTCATCTGTAGAGGATACTTGCATGGCTAATTTGATTGCTAAAATGTGTCCCTGCATTGACCGCCGCAGAACAGTTTGCATGCATTCACCAACAAATTGCAACTCTGTTGTCCTTGAACTCGTCACTTCACAGCTAAGTTGTCTGTTTGCATTCCCTTAAAATCTGACTTCTTGAAACCTGCAGACATCCTGCAGAGAAAAACTTTTCACAAACACCCCGAGAGTCCCATGATGCAGCTGGTGCAAACCCCACCGGCCCCTCGTGGTCGGCGTTCTGACAGCACTGCCGAATCAGACTGTCACACCTTGTGATGGGAGGACAGGCTGAGCCAGCAGGCGTCACCCAGCGCCTCCTGCAGGGGTCGGACACAGTTCAGAGCTCCGTTATTTTTGGCAGGCGGATTACGTTATGTCACGAGATGGATTTGCTAATCCTGCTACGTGTGTGCGTGTGTGAGAATGTGTGCGTGCGTGCAATGATATGATCCCCAAGCACAGTGGCAGTAAGCTGTGAGCACGGTTGCTGCAGCACTTAGAGATGATGTTGCACAAAGTCAGGGCAATCAGGCATGCTATTTTTCATCTTTCTTTTTAATCTTTCTGTTTTCTGCTTTTTATATTTTATTGCTTAATTTTGGTGTCTAAAAAGATTTACTAATCCCTGTTTTCCACTCACCTCTCATCCCTTCCCCGCAGCCACTTCCAACCCATTTTCCCAGAAGCCTCAGCTCTTCAGCACCCTTCTCTACTCCTTGGTTCCCATCATCGGTTTGGCTGCCGTCGTCCTCTTCTCCTTCTGGATGTGGAGGCATCACAAACTGGCTTACCCAGCTGCCCTCGTCCCCACACATGTAAGTCTTTCTGAGGTTACTAAATGAACACTTGTTGCTCACTCTTTTGTCCCCATCTTTGCTTCACATCGCTCATCACTGCAGTGAGTTTCCAGAGGTCACCTGTCAATCAAAGTGGCAGCAGGGACAGCCGTGTCCCCTTTCTTCAAAGTTGCTGTTGAAGCAGTTAGAGTTTCTCTTTTTGTCTGTTCAGTCGCGGTTGCCACTGCATCCCATTTCATCTTTTAATTGCAAACAAAGGGGAAATGTAAAACGCACAGGTTTCCTGCATGGAACAAAAGCTGAGAAATAAACAAAGAAATTACACATAGTTCAACGTTACCTCCAGCGTGCAAAGAATCCTTGTTCTGTAAGGTTGAAAATCTCAAATAGTTTCTCAAATAATGCTCAGACTCAGCCAGACTTAGTTTTTTCATTCCCCTTTATCTACACGAGGCAATCACCTTATTGCACCTTTTAAAAAGCAGAACCACTGATCTAGTTTCTCACTGGGTTGTAGCAGCCTTGCCTTTCCAGCCTCTGTCAGCAGAGGGACCAAGCTACGGCCCCCCACATTGGATACACTATGACGAGACTTTTGCATTGGGTTAATTCCGTTTTGAGTGTTTTCTTTTTAATTTTCATACACATGAAGAAAAGCCCCTGGTTCTGTCTTTTTCCCATTTTTCAAGAGTGTCTTTGTGAGAAAGCATTTGATAGTCTGGCTTTTAAAGCACCAGACTCGAGTGTCTGGAAATGACTGGAGTTCTGATGGTTCATATTGTGTCGGATAGGCTTTAAATCACACCTAAATGTTCAAGTGTATCTTTAAATCTTTAAATTTGAAGTGCACATTGAGCTGCTTGGATCAGAATAATTACTTCTGACCTACATCTCAATGTGTACTCGTTCACCTTTTATCATGCCGCTCTTATTCACATCATTATTTTCTCTTGTACTCCATAGCTAATTAGTCGGAAAGAAACCTTTATTTTCACGTTTTTCCACAATCTGCGAGTCTCATTATGTTTGTAAACCTCCCAAACATTTCCAGATCTCCAGTTTTGTATTTTGCATCTCCAAAATCCTGATTCATATAGTTATTTTTTCTTTCTTAATCTTGGATTCTGAGGCGGTTTGGGCAGAAGAGTAAGCGTACATTCTCTGCTTCTCGGCAGCAGGGGAAAAAGAAAACCCATGCAGAGCCTCCACAGTATGGAAGAGGAGTCAGGGGCCTCTGCATTATTGATGAGGCTTTATATAGGCAAACAAAACTAAACACAGAGGCGCTCAGAGCTCTGCCTCAGAGGATGGATGGTGGTGGGCGGGCGGGTGGGTGGGTGGGTGGCTGAGAGGGAGGGAGGGAGGGAGGAGGGGAGCGCGTGGGAGGAGAGTGAACAGAGACATGCAATTCTCTCAACTTAGTTATTGTATTTGCACAGCGCTAAAGCATAGAAGGGAGAAGATAAAGAGACAGTGATACAATACAGTCAGGAAACAAATGCTAATGTGCATTGGAAAGACAACTGCTGGGAAACATCTAACGTGGAAACATTATATAAATGAATAAATAACATACGCAAAAACCAAACAAGATCATGAGCAGAGACGATCAGATAACTGACGATGACACAGTGGAAAAAAACAAACAGCTGAAATATTCATAAAATCACAAGGGGGAGAAAATGAAATGAAATAGCCGGGATGGAACAAATGAAGTCATGCCGGCTGTGTGTTTCTGTGTGTGTGCTGCAGGAGTGTATTAGTGCATGAATGAGTAGGTGTACAAGGACACGAGATGGAAAGGAGGTCACGCGTACAGGAATGTAGTTAAAAGTCAGCTTGTATGCTTTTCTGTTAGGAGCTGATGCAGTAAACCCCACCCGGCTGCCTCATGAAGGAGGCTAAATCAAACAATCAGGGTCTGAAACATGGTGTCTGCAGCTTGGTTTGTACTTGATTAAAGCAGGTTTTTCAATATAGGAGATGGAGGAATCCCATCGAGAGCAGAGAGATGGATGCAGCAGGAGGGGAGATGTGGAGGGATTTATTTCTATCTTCGACTTCTTTATTTATTTATTTTTCCGTGTTGTTGTTAAAGAACGTGTTTTTGTGTTGCACCACAGGCTGTATTAAAAAAAAAAAAAAAAAAAAAAAAAAAGCAGAGGTGACTCCCGACAATCACTCAAACAGCTCGCTCTTAGAAAGTCACTGAGGACGACTTCTAGCAAATGTTGCACTGTGGAGAGAGTGTGTTTCACCACAGGTTGTGCAGCACCTGCCTGGTGAAATCACATATATAGAAAAACACATGACTTTGTTTTCTCAATAAGATATCTCTGACATGTGGAAAATAAGCTGTTAAAAAGGGACTTATGGTGTGAAATCAACACTCATTTAACACTTAACACACTGACATGAGAGTGGTATAGATTTTCTCCTCTAGATCTCAGTGAAAAACAATCAATTGTTTTTACATATTATGGTGTTTAAATGTTTAATAAGTGTGCTGATTGCTTCACCCAGCAGCCTTAAAACTGGCTGTAATGGCTGCAATGTAATCCTCTTGGGCAAATGTGCAAAATCTAATTTCTTCCACTATCTGTACTTTATTTTTTTTTTCCACTTACAGGCTTGGATTGTCATTCTTTGTGTCTAACATTTTTTTCCAGGGAGATGGACCTCACATGTCAAAGAGTAAGATGCTGTTACATCCTTCTCTTCGTAGCCAACAGACTCCATAGACAAAAACAGAGATTTTACCTTCAGCAGTTGCTCTTCTCACACTGCCTTCATCAAACACTCTTTTTCTGTTATGTAGTCAAAGAACTACCAAGGCAGCAGTAAAACAAATCAGCTCTAGTTTACCAAAATAAAAGTAAAATGTCTGTTTTTGTAAAAGGTGTTTGGTTACTTTGAAGAGAGCGATGCAACATCTCTCTCTGGTTTCGGAAAAGGATCTTACCTTCATGAATACGGTTGATCTCTTTAGGGATCCTTTTTTAGTCTTTTTGGGAGTTTTAATAACAATATTATCCAGTCAGTGACACAAAACAAGCTCGTTAATGGAGCAGTAATAAACATTTTTCTACATTTTTGTCATTTAAAGCTGGTATGACCTTTGAAAAAACTAGAGCCCCGGTTTGAAACCTTGTTCTCCTCTTACAACAGCTTTTTGTAAATCACTTTTTAACGCTGTGAAAACACTTCGACAGATTCTTTTTTTGAGAGGCGCCAGTGGCATGAACATCCAGCTCTTAGGTTTCATATCTAGTTTCAGCAATGCAGTCAAACTTCAAAAGCAGAGGACATATCTTCTACATTAAGTCCAGAATAAATGCTTTATCCTACTTGTTTCTATACTGCGCTGCATTCATCAGCGTATAATGCACCGTACTACTTAGTCATGTATTTTTAATGTGACAGAAACAAATTGCCCACACCTGTAGCTGGTTAGCTTTCAAAGTATCCTGAGTGTACAGGAAGCCATTAGAGCTGTTCATCATAGGTGTTGGTACTAATGAACCAGTTTCTCAATGCTGGTGCCAGCTCCACTGCTGCCTCTTTCGAACGGGCAGCACTGTGCATCACACTGTGCACATTTAATCTAAAGCTTTAATTAAAAGGAGTTTGAATGTGATTAAGTCATTAAACAAGCAGCTGCAGTCTGAGCAGAGAATAAAGGCGCGACACATGCACAATGCCCATTTAGGATTTGTTTCGGCTTCTGTTTTTAGTTTTAGTTTGGGGCATGTCATTAATGTAAATGTAACGGCAGGGACATTTTCAAAACATGAATGATATATAGTAATGTATAATGAAAAACACATGTTGTGACATATATCTAAGCATAGGTACTAAACCATTCTCACAGCATGACATACGTGTACATGAAGTCTTCTCGGTAATTCTATATTACTTCTACTGGAACTTGGAGTAGTGCAGTGTATATGATAATGTCTGTAATGAAGGAGTATATATCATTCAAATAAAGTATGTGCTAAGAAGCACCTCAAACTTTGTGAAACTTGTTTTTAAGGTTTTTAATGCAGCATGTGAAGTTAATGTTTCACAAAGGCAAAATTAGCAAAAAGCTCAAGTATCAGATAAAGATGAAATGATGCTTGATTTAAAAAAAAAAAAAAAGATTAAGAAGCATAAAAGACTATCATCATGCTGTACTATTTTCAGCAGCGTTCTCTGCAGAAAACAATCTTATAGATGGGCAAAAGAAAATGACATTAAGCTGCAGCCATTCTTTTCTTTGCAAGCTAATGAAACATGCAGTCTTCATGATGCAAAAGTAATTGTTTCCACTTAATGATCATTAACGGATCCATTACTGCGGCTCTGTTGTTTTAATTTTACGACGAGAGGCTCTGAAGGAAGAAAGGAAAGTGTGGTGGTGAAGAGAGCTCCTGCTGTACTTTCACATACAGTCGTCAGCTTTACATTAGTCCTGACAGGAAGTGGAGTTCATAAAGAAGAAGGCGGGCTCAGTGTTGAAAGAAATGCATGTCTGATCTTCGTGCACACATACTTAACTTATTAAGGCGACTTCAAAAGGTTATATTCAGGTATAAGTACAGAAAACTACAGGCAGCAGAGTGGCTTTATGGCACGCTGTCATTATGTCATAATCACAGTCCATCGTGAGCTGCATATTTTCCGCCAACTCTCGGTTATTCACAGCGCAGCGTGAAGTGGAGGCAAACTGGAATTGATTGTGTCTGAGTACACAGACCCACAGCTTTCACACGGAGCACTAAAACACCATTTAAAAGAAAGAAAACCTGGACCCTGATTTCTTATCTTGATCCATCTCACCAGTAAATTCTGACAAAATCACATGAATTGTTTCACAATGAAGCGACTTACATCTTGTTTGTCTGGGTGTTTTTTAACTCATAGATGCAACAAATACATTTTTCACAACCTGTTGTTAAGGAAATTATACAAAGCAGGGATTGTTTTTTTTAGCAGCTGGTTTATGACGTAAATGTCACGTTGGTACTGAAATTTTGCTCCTTGTCTTTCTATAGCCGAAAATCTTTTTCTTTTTTAGGATCTTTGTTACTTTAGGATACTATTGAGCAGTAAACAAACAAAGGTATAGTTTAAAAACACTTAGTATGAAAGGGTATTGGACATTTTGATATCCTTACTACAGATAATTAGCATATTGCAATTTTTTTATTCTTTTTTTTATAGACTAAACTTGTTTGGATTTTGAACTTTGAGTTTGTAGCATTATCTGAAAGCATTTAGTTTCTAACAGCCGGACTACATTACCCTTGGTTGTGAACATTTGTGTGTCTGATTCTGCACACTCTGAGCTCTTTGTTAATCTCCTCGGCTGAGACTCTCTTCACTCAACATTTCTGTGTGTTTGGTGGGAACATTTTTATTCTCCTGTCATCAGTGGGGCTTCTGCTCTGAACTTTGTATTTGTGTTTGTTTGCTTTCTCTGTGATCCAGGAAAACATTTTCTGTTCCTTTTTTAAAGATTTGTCATTTCATTTTCAGTTGCTCTTCATTCCTAAAAATGAACCATCTGACCTTAGATGTCATGCTTGTTAACCGCTCTACGACCATCCATGTGTCCCAACCATAGCTTTGCCCTCCTCTGGTCTGGAGTGCGAGGAGGAACAAAAGGTTGCTCAGGGACGAGCCATCATCTCCTTCCATTTACCTGCCTCTATTTCATCCTCTAACTGACAGACAATAATTTCTCTGTTTGCTTCTTATGTTCCTTTTCGACAAGCACGCCTTTCACATTATGGTGGAGGTAAGAGCAGTTCAATTGAAGTTGAAACACTGTTAGCTTTCTCCCCTTTCTTGGGTTCAGAGCTTGGTATGAATCCTCCACTTCAATCCCAGACCACCATTTTGCTTTCTTTAATTCTTTTTCAGCACATATCTGTCTGTTATTTTGATTTTTTTCTGCCTGGGTTTGTTGCATGGATGGATTTCTTTGTTGCTCCCTGCCGGAAATGTATTGTGCATGGTGGAAAGTGGCCAACACGGCTCCGAATGCAGCCCCCTTTTTTTGTATGAATGTCCACCTTTAAATGTTTTGTAGCGTATTGTGTGTAATCTGACCCAGTTTCCAGAACAGTATCTGCTGAGACCTATGGCTCACCACGTTCTCCGTGTGCAGGGAAACAGAGCAGGAGTGTTTGAAACTGAAATCGCGGCCTGCTTTTTCCATCGTAAAAGCAGACAGAGGAGGAGTGCAGATACATTTTGCATAAGGAGGAGAATTGCCACTTACCTGGAACATGTTTCAAGTCAGAGAGTGTAAATTACTTAAGTAGAAGAGGAGTATAAGCCTTTTGCAAATGGGCTTTGGCTGGAAATATATCACAGTGGAGCACAAGAAGGGCTGCAGACATCACTAAAAAGTGTCTCAAAAGTCGGAAGCTTAAGAAACATAACTCTCTCTTTAAGGTCACATCAGCAAGTCTTTGTGTTTTAAAGTTTTATGGTCAAGAGTGTTAGAGGCTGCATCTTTTTTACTTGTACATCAAGCATCAGCTACATGCAGGACAAACCAACCAGTACCTTAAAGACCATCATTGATGCAAATGAAGGTGAAACCTGATTAGGCAACAGGAGATGGTTTAGGGTTGAGAAGAACGGCGCGAAGCAGCAGATTCTGTTTTCCTGTTTCCTGTGGTCTGCTGACGAAGTGTAATGCGCCCCCGTTTGAGGCCACGGCGCCCTGTGATCGGACGAGGGATCCGATATCTCCCGAGGGAGACCAAGCCGCTCTGGGCTGGGCTGAGCTGAGCTGGGCCGTCTCGTCAGGCCGAAGCCCCGAGAAACACAAGAGTTTCAGATACAATGCAGACGTAAAGAAAGAAAAGGGTCCTGTAGTCATTTGCTTTCTTTTTGGATGGATGACTGCCTTGACTTTGAGTTGAAACATGCAAGTTTTTAAATCAAATCATCCTCCAATTTAAAAAATCCACTTATATACAAAACAGCATTTCAAACAGGTGTAGTGAAACTATTCTGTGAAGCCATACGTTCATTATTCTGGTTCCTACAATGTGTTTTTCAAAGATGTTTCTCGAGGTGCCAACTCGGGATAGTTGGGTTGCTCTGTGATCCAACCTCAGCGCCATTGTGGGTAATTTTCCCCCGTTTGGCTGCCATTCGGTGTGAAAGCAGCGTGCAGAGACAGCAGGTCTGCCTCACAGCTCTGTGTTAGAGGGAAGCGGCTCTAAGTAAACACACTCCAATCCTCTGTTCCCCCCTCTCACTGTGTGACACCCTGCTCCATAATTCAACCCAAAAACACAACAGAAAAGTTTCATATTTATTCCTCCAAAGCTTCTTAAAGAGTACATATCTGCAGCTGCTACGACAGTAACATGCACTAATACAAGCTCAGCTCAATACCAGATTAGCCTGGATGAAACTGGGAGACATTTGGTCACTCAGAGGCAGCAAATAACACAACATACAATACATGTTGATATAGCTCAGAGTCTAGAGCCATTTAGCAGGCTTATGAGGCTGCACTTTGAGGTAAAGGCCCTTATTGAACAGCAGTATATCAGAGTGTTTCATTAGCCATTCATGAGACTATAATTCAGAATTTTGTTAAATGGAGAGAACTATCATTCACGTATTTGTATTGTATTCTAGGATCTTGCATTTCCATGCAAATGGAATCCTGATGAAAACTTTCCTTTCCCTATTTCTGAAGTTGATTTCAGGTCATCTCCTTCTTTTTTCTAACAGAGCAGACTTAAATATCAGTATGTTAAAAGTCTTACATGTTCTTAGACACTTTTCTCTTTTCATTGTAACAGTAGCTGGTTCTTTCTGTGTGCTCTGAAACTAAAGTTCATGACCAGGCACACAATTTCAAATTGATCAAAATCAAAGCCGTAAATGCTGATAAATGATCTCGGTCTGCTTCTGCAGCTACAGTAATCTTGTCAGGACAGGTGGTAAAACTGAAACCACTTTTTCCTGTTTTTATTACTCATGCTGTTAAAAGCGTTTTGACTCTGCCCTGTAGCTTCGCCTTGGCTCATTTATCACCGTGTAAATCGCCATTAATTGTCTTTAAGAAAGTGTGGGTGCCAAAACCTTGACGGTAGACTGAGCACAGTTAACCCAAGTGTGCAGAAATGAACATTTTTTATTTATCATTCATGTGAGCAAAATGTTGTTTCCTTTCTGAAGTGGTATCTTTCATGAGAAATGGTGGAGATCCTTGTAACTGAAAGCGGGGGCATTTTTTATAGGAAGTCAGTGAATTGACAAGAGCTTTTGATATATTGTCTCAGTGTTTGAGTGGATCCTGTGGGCCTTGAGGTCTTGAAACTTGCTCCAGCTTATCAGGCACTATGTAAGCCTGCAGTTCAAGTAAAAACATGAACATCTTCGGCGTTGCAGAGGGGAAAGCTTTTCTCTTTTTTTTTTTTACTGACAGCAGAGTCACGGAGGTAAAGTCGAGGATTTTACAGCAGCATATCTGGTTTCATCAAAGGCCATCCGTCATGCGCTCGTCTTTCTCCTCTACCTTTCATCCTTTGTGGAAATGTGACTCCCTCCCTCGCTCGCTGCATGCTTCTGTTTAACCTTCTCCCTCTCTCTCTCTTTCTGGGTCTCTTCTATTCTCACTCGCCCTCTGTCCTTCCCTGTGAAGTCACATGTGAAAGTGATCAGCTTAATCCCGATCACCAGCTGTGTTTAACCTACTTTAGATTTGGAGCACTCGCCTTCCTCGCTTTCTCTTTTGTTTATACGGGATTAGCATGAGCACAGAGCGCACGCATGAGGTTTGACCTGCCAGAGTTGGACACGACATCTTCACCCAAACCATTTCTTCTTTTAATCAACCCTTCTTCATGTTCATTCTTCTTTATTTGCCTTGCTACACAACCTTTTTTTCCCCCTCAGCAGCTCACTGGATTCAAACTGGCAACCATCCAGCGACAGTCTAGCTTCTGTAAAACCCCCGAGCAAGTGCAGCCCTGGAAGTTTAATTGAATTTAAAATGATTTCATCTAAAAACCCTGTTTGCTATGCTTTATCTTCTCTGCCAAAAAACGACACAGTAATAATAATATTAAACATGCAGCACTTCCTTAACTTTCCAAAGTGCTTTAACAATCGAATAAAGCAAACAACAGACCCATAAAGCAAATAAAGCAAGTCCAAAAAAAAAAGGCAGCGCATGAAATATAAACGAGGCTAAAAACGGCATTTTGGCAAAAATATTATGAAAGCATCATCACATAAAAGCGGGTCTATGAAAGTAATTTGTAAGTCGTGATTTAAGATGTGAAGATGGTCGTGATTCTGCTGGCCTAAGCTCCTCAGGCACGCTGTCTCTGAGCCAAAAAGCCCGGTCACCTTCACTGTAAGCCATTGCTATTTTAATGCCCTGCAAAAAAAGAATTAAGAATAACACTGTCCTCTCTCTCTGTTGTTTTTCTCCCCCTCTCCAGGATCCCGGGCCCTCACCCCCGTCCCCCCTCATGGGACACAAACCTCTGCAGCTGATCGAGGTGAAAGCCAGGGGGCGCTTTGGGTGTGTTTGGAAAGCCCAGCTGCTGAGCGATTATGTGGCAGTGAAGATCTTCCCCATTCAGGTAGTTTTCTGAATGTTTTTGTTTTACTTCTGACTCTCTGCTGAAGTTTGTAGATCGGTGAGAGTATTTGAAATGTCCAAACAAGCAAATGAAGACAAAGTACAAGATAAATGCGAGGTTAAAAAACATTACAACCTGATGATCCTGAGCTAGTTTACCTTCTTTAAACATTCAGAAATGTTTAAACATGGGCCCTGTTGTGGCTCTAAATAGATCCACTTAAAGCACTTTTTTATGCTCATAGCTTCAGGTTGTTTGTGATAGAGATCCCTGTTGAGATTGACCTTTCTGGAAGACCACAAACAGCTGTTTACAACCCTCTCTGCACTTAAATCCATTGATAAGAAGATTCATTTTACTGTCCAGAACATAACAGTCTGTCGCTGCCATTAGGGATTTGTTTTTTTAGTTTTATTTTGTGTCACAAATATTACATTGGTTCTGGATTGATCTAACAAATCGAGGCAGCAGAAGATCAGCACATCCAGTGTTGAAGTTGTAACTTGTATCTGGATGGAGTATGATGGCTTCAAATAGAGCTATATGACTGCTGTTTCTGCTTAAAAATTAGACATCATTCCTCCGTCAAAAAAGGGCGATTTTAGTAGGAATCCTATCTGTGATATTGACAGTTAAGATAACAAACTAAGCCTGTCAGTGGCCAAAACAAACACTTTGTCTGGATGTACTTTGCTCCGACGATTGCAGCCACTACTGCCGATGCTTTAATACGTGTGCCAGATGTATCAAAGTACCACAACAAGAATTCCCCTTTTAATAAATTCTAACAATCCTTTGCATCACCTTTGTTGTCTTCATGAAGCCAAACAAGATGCTATAGTTAATTGGACAGCTTCATAACAGAACCTGCGTCTGTCTCTCTGCTCCCGTGTAGGACAAGCTGTCTTGGCAGAACGAGTATGAGATCTACAGCGTGTGCGGCATGAAGCACGACAACATCCTCCACTTCATCGGCGTGGAGAAGAGGAACAACAACCTGGACCTGGAACTGTGGCTCATCACCGCCTACCACGACAAGGTACGCTGTCACGGATTGAGCTACATACCTCCAGCAACCTGCAGAACTTCTATTTATTGATTCATGATTTAAAGTTTGTTAACTTAAGAAGTTAACTTTTGAGTCATGAGGACGTTGTTTAATGCTTTTCACCGTTTATTTAAGGCTCAATAACGAGCTGCATCAAACTCCATTTTACTCTCTACAAAGTGAAATATGATTAGTATTCCCTTAATTACTATGTGTTCCTTTCTGATACTCATTCTAACAGCTGGACTTATAAGACACATGTTTCTTTAATTTAAGCAGCTTTATTCAGTGTTTTTATCAATCAATCACTGAGATTCTTTGTTTTGATAATTCTCCCGTAAAGAATCTGCGGCTGACAGAAAGACGAGAGAGGGAAACTGTTGCTGACGAGGAATAAAATAAAAAATTAAACAGAGCCAAACAATTCAAACGTTCCTGTAGATGAACAGAAGTTTATTTTTAAATGTTCAACATTCAGACAGTAAGAGATTAGTTAAAGGAATAAGCGTTCCTCCAATTCCAGCATGTTTAAAACCTGTATTATTGCACTGATGTTTTATAACGAGGTTTGTCCTCCTAAATAAGCAGATAAATGAGTTTTTAAAGGGCTAAAGGAGACGTCTGAATACCGACAAACTGCAGGCAAATGCAGTTCTATAATTTGCATGTAAATAGTTTGCTTCTTGCTGGATTTCTTCCATGATACAGGTTGTTTGTGTCCATATAAACACATGTACAGGATGGATGTGTATATTCTCATTGTACACAGAGATAAATACCTCCAGGACAGACAGCGAGACTGCATGAGACCTCCACATTGTATTGATTCTGTGCGTTTCCTTAAGAGCTAATCCATAATTACCCTATATTACATGCTGATCTTACCTTTTAAAACCTTGTTTATCCTGAGAAAGTGGCTTTCTTCGCCCGGTCGTGCTTCACTTACCCTCTTCTCCACCAGTCTTTGTAGCATTTTAGGGGCTTTAAGTGCCTCTGTGTGTTTCGAGGGTCATTACAGAAGAAGTGGAGTGATTCTTTTATGCTTCACTTGCTTGAATTTCTTAGCCAGGCCAAAAATTTGAATCCCAGTGCTTAAGAAAGCCATCCCTGCATGAATAAAGGTTGAAAAATTAAAGGCTGTGCTGGGTGTGCTGGCGAGGCTTTAACCCGACGATTCAACTCTTAGACAGCCACTTAACCCTGCAGCAGCTCCACAAGTGCTCCTCTGATTTGTAGCAGCTCTCCAGAAAGAAATAACACTGAAGGAATTTATTTTAGAGCGTTTTTAGGAAAGGTCGTACAGCTAAGCGCCTTGTCGAACATGCTTTGTAATCATTTTGTAGCCTTTAGAGGATACATAACATCAAATTTAACCTACAAAAAGCCTCTCCTTCCGGCCAGTGTTTTCCAAAGCAGGTGTCAGAGTCGGTTTGGACTGAAGCTGAGGTTGTGTAACCCAGCTGGAGCGGTGATTGCAAAGTTCAGCGTCTCCTTGACAGCTGATTTATGCCCCTGTGTTTGATGCATCGCAGCAGCTTTATGTATCGCTAACAAGCAGTGGCTTGTTTTCATGGAATACAAGCCTCTCCAAAACGACTTAATCTTTTCATTTATTAGACCATACAAAGATATTAATAACTGTCATGGATTTGCTTTAGGCGTCTCTTTTGTTGCTTTATTAATTACTACTATTACTGCACAAAAAATACTCAGGTGTAACAAATACAATTGAAAGCATTCATCCAAATCCAGGACAACCTAACTGATCACGTTGACTACTTTTCTTTATCTATGAGTGCTGACTGCTCTCTAGTGGCCACTCCAGCAACTACATGTGCCTTTGGCCTCAGCTGAAGTGACCTTGTATTATATTGACACAGGTTACGTAAGAACAGAGATGTTGTATAAGGAGGAGGGACGGAGCGGAAGTAGCTGGAACATCTGGTATCCATTTCTCCTCATTTTATTTGTATTTATTTATATCATCTTTAAATGCATACAAGGACGTTTTAAGGCAGCTGGCACCAAAAGAATGAGTAGACTGATGATTATTTCATTAAAAACAATACATGTACATGAAGTATGTGACAAACACAGACTTTAAAGTGGATACAGAATATGTTTTAATTGCTGTATATCAACCTTAAATACCTGAAATATAATGCTTTAAAATCTCTGTTTAAATAAATATTGTGCCAATATTGACCCATACGGTCGCGCACAGTTTGGATTTCTCTCGGTGTAGTTTACCTTATTTCAACCGCATTTCTTTTAATGCCAAGTCCCCTGTGAAATACAATACTTCCCACAAGCTCTCCATCCATCCATTAAGGATGCTGCTGTTACCATGGAAACCGTACCCGCTCCTGCACATCTCTATACTGTTATGAAGCATTAAATATATTCCTGCCTTTGGTTTTTACTGCTGAATCACTTTCTTGACATTTCTAGATGTGTTGAGTGGGTAATTTCACCGTGAATTCACAAATAAATTAAACACATTAAACACAAAATGTATTTATTATCTTTTATCTTGGCACTACTTCGTAGCGCTGATATAATAAACGTGTTTATGTTAAAGAGATGGATTTTTAGTGACTGAAAACACTTTGTATTGAATTTATTTCATGCTATTCCTCATACATTTTTGGTTCCTTTAAAGCAGTTTGAAGCCTCCCAGTTTTTTGTGTCCAACAGTCTTTATGAAAAAGGAAAGCTCCATATTCAGACTTCTTTTTTCCTCTCTTTGTGTCTTTCTGCAGGGCTCCCTCACCGACTACCTGAAGGCTAACGTGGTGTCATGGAACGAGCTGTGCCTCATCACTTCGACGGCGGCCCGCGGCCTCGCCTACCTCCACGAAGACATCCCGGGCCACAAAGACGGACACAAGCCCTCCATCGCTCACAGGTTTGCTCTCCAAATATCAACACATCACAGTCATGTTGACGCTACATGAGTGCTACAGATACCTAAAGTGTTGTTGTTTCTTTTTGTGTCTCAGGGACATTAAGAGTAAGAATGTGTTGTTGAAGAATAACCTGACAGCCTGCATCGCCGACTTTGGCCTCGCTCTGAAGTTTGAAGCAGGAAAATCAGCAGGAGACACTCATGGACAGGTACGGTACTGTTGATCACCCGTTTCTTCAAGTTCCTGCCTTGTTTCTGCTGAACAAAAAAACTAAGAGCTGTTGTGTTGTATGGATGTTGGAAAATATTGTTGAAACCAGGACATAGTAAGTCTTACTGCAGCACTGTACCAATATATATCCAAACATATCTAATCATTCCCCGGTATTAGTAATAAAAAACACTGACATTTTGTCCTTAGAACTGATTCGGTGTTTGTATGTATATGCAAACTAAGCAACAAACCCCTCCTGTGATCGTTTTTCTGCCGTCTCAGCCGGTCTGTGATCTGTGTCATGACTTTCCTCGTCCTCTCTGCTCCTGCTTGTTTTTCTCTTCATGTTTCTGTCCCGTAGCTGACCTTTTGCGCTGTGATTTTTTTTTAATCCTGCAGGTGGGAACACGCCGCTACATGGCTCCTGAAGTCCTTGAAGGTGCCATCAACTTCCAGCGAGACTCCTTCCTGCGCATCGACATGTATGCCTTCGGCCTCATGCTGTGGGAACTCGCAGCACGCTGCACGGCCGCTGACGGTAAGACGGAGGAATCAAACCTGTTTGACGCATGCACTCTTGTTTTTTATTACAAGGTTCATTTAAATTCTGTTCATGTTGTCGTGTGTTCACAGGCCCGGTGGACGAGTACATGCTCCCGTTCGAGGAGGAGGTGGGTCAACATCCTTCTCTGGAGGACATGCAGGACGTGGTCGTTCACAAGAAGCTGCGGCCCTGCCTCAGAGACTGCTGGCAGAAACACGCGGTGAGCAACGAGATGCTGTTGTTGTCATTACGTCTTCATTTAAAGCTTTGATAAAGAAAAAGTGAACTTGAACTCATCATTGATCTTCTTCTCCCTCACAGGGTCTGGCCATGCTCTGTGAAACCATCGAGGACTGCTGGGACCATGAGGCCGAGGCCCGCCTGTCTGCCGGCTGCGTAGAGGAGCGCATCGGCCAAATGCAGCGCCAAGCCCCCATCATTGGCCCCGAGGAGATTGTCACCGTTGTCACCATGGTGACCAACGTGGACCTCCCACCCAAGGAGTCCAGCTTATGATTCATCTGACAAGCTCATGGAAACACGGATCAGCACGAGGGGATGAACGGCCGACCCTGGTTGGTTGGCGTTCCGGGTTTTTTTCTCTTTTTTTTCCTTTTCCCTTTTTTTTTTTTTCTCTCTTTCTTTTTTGTTGTTCCTTTAAGTGCGGGCCGCTACTTCAGGAAACACCCTGCGCCCACCTCACCACATCAGTTGTTATCCACCTCATTTTGATATGTGTGCCTGAGGATTTTAACGTTGGAGAAAAAACTCTCAACCCGAGCAAACCATTCAGGATTTTAAACGAGTGAAAGTGTCGACATGCTGGGACAAAACGCTTTTATCATGTATTGTTTTTATACACACACACTCACACAGGAGGGCGACCTGTTCTGCTCGGGTTTTCTATGGAGAGAGGAGACCCGGCGGGGAAATTTCACAGAACTCTCAGTGCATTTTACTGTAAAAAAAAAAAGAAAAGAAAAGAAAAAAAAGACGAGCACCTGGCTCTGGATACATTTGCTGTTTTCTTGTGTGCGTTTTTTTTCTGAAGAAACGACTATCGTTCTGCCAATAAGCAACGGCTTCTGAATGTTTATAGTGTAATGCTGCTGTACATAGTGTATTATGGACCCAGACGACTTGGTAATCAAGCTTATTTTAAAAGGGGGGAGGGGGTGAGGGGGACGGGGAGGGGAGGGGAGGGGAGGGGAGGGGGGGTCCATTTTCAAGCATTACGACGATAAGAAAACCATAAACCTCCTTCAACCAGGTATACCTCACTTCAGATGGACACAGTTTAAATTTCCCTCTTCAAAGTCATGGCTCACACTTTTTTCTCCACCACTTTGGCTCGTCACATCCACACTATCCGTTCTAAGCCCCATGGGTAATGTAGTCCGCTAAAGCCTCGATACGCATCGCCATAAAAAACACAAGTTTCTCCCTTTTCCCTCCCCTTTCTCAGTCTCACTTTTATAGATTTCTTTTGGGGACTGAATAACAACTTTGGTTAGTTTTGTTTTCTTCTGATCATGGTAGAAACATCCCCCCCTGTGATGAAGTGGTTGTTTAAAGTGATTTTTACAGTTTTTTTGGTTTGCCGTGTTAACTGTCAACGGTGTCATTTTGCCCGTGAGATCTGGTTATTCTGATTTATTTTTTTTATATATCTCTCTGGATTGGCGCTGGGTACCATCTAAACATACCTTCAAATATTTGGTATCAGCACCAAGTTTTTAAAGTGCTCAAAGATGGTCAATCTTTTGGATCATGTTCTTCTTGTTCCTTGTATCATGCGTGGTCTGATTCTGCTAAGAAATAATCAACAAAATAGCAGAATAGCAAATTTGCAGAAGTATCAGATTTGAATTTGAATTGAGGGTACCCAGCCCTAGTATGGATTTAAACCTGTATTTAGCTGAGCCAGCTTGCTTTTTAATTTGAACGCACACACACATCTCTCTTTTTGTTGTATTACTATCAAGAGTCTCTTTTGATACACCTCAGGAATCTTTGCTACTGACCACATCCTCCACCTCTTCCTCCTCATCCTCACCTGTCTCAGACTGGAATACCTCCTCTTTCGCTGATTCTTCTGCTTCCTCTCTTTCTTTCTCTTTCCTCGCCTCATCTCTACTTGTTGAGGGTTTAGCCGTGCTGTCATGCCCAAGAACACTAAAACAGAGTCTTCTATATTTTTTAGAACCAGCCAGATTTGATTGAGGTTGTTAACTTAGCCTGGCCTGGTTTGTTTCCACTTTTTGGACCAGCCCAACCCGTCTTCATCCTCCTGAGAAGCATGAAAAGCTCTAAATCTTGCTGTGTTTAAATCATTTTTGAGACTTAATTGCCTTTGTTGATAAGTGTCTTTTTATCAGGATTGATGGGTTGAGATATCTGGGGTTAATTGTTTTTTCTGGCATTCTGAATTAAACACTTAAAGTTCTGAAAAACTAGCTGAAAAGCTAGGGTTACTAGCTTTCAAAGCTACCTGCTCTGGGTTTGAAAAGTGCTGAAACAGCTATATTTACATGCAGTTTTCTGTCACTCACATGTCTAAAATGACTGGTTTTAAAATTTCTTTGACTCTAAACGAACAATAACACGGCTAACCAAACTCCACGAGTTGAGACGAGGATCCTCTTCTTTCCCTCTTTCATCCTGGTGCCATTTCTACGTATCCACATTAGTTACTCTTGTAGATGTCAGGCAAAACGGATGTATCTGTCACTGCTGCGACGGCAACAATGACGTTTTTTGAATTGTTTCTTTCTTCTGAGGGACATTGAACACTGGTGCCGGCAGACCTGCAGTCTCTCCTCAAGCTTTGGGACGGTTTCAGGATGATTAGTTTAAAATCAAGCTGATGAAAATCAATTATTTTAGGGTCAGAAAGATTTAAAATATGAAGAAATGTATTTATATAGAAACTTAAAACATTCAGGGCAATACATGATTATTCTTTCTCTATAGCATGATTAGCATTTTAAGAAAACGTACTGTAGTGCTTGAGATTTAGAAAAGCGAAAGGTTAAAACAAATTTGAGTCTGAAATTTAGCTGAATACCGGTATTTGTTTTGTATCCACCTCTCCTGCGATTCTGTTATCATTTTTCCTTCTTTTCCAAATTTTAGACCTTAAAGGCTAAACTTTGCTTTGCATTCACAAATTATTGTTTTTTTCCTGACAAATGCCCACTTTCTACCAAAACAACAACTGTGACAACTACAAAATGGTTTTTTTTTAGGGCCAGATCTTTCCCCCAGAACTGAATTCAGACCCTGGTTCTTGTGGTCGAAATGCACATAGTTCCTCAAATGGTCCCGAGTTCTGGGGGACAGTTCCTCCTGTCGAAAAGGGGCTTAAGAATCATAATTGTCCCCAGTAATCCCTCCAAAACGGTGAATATTTGGTCATTTCTGAGGAAGTGAAAGCAGTTACAAGTTTGGAATAAAGTTTGAGCACGTGCTAAAACAACAACACAGTAAACCTGTAGGAAGCAGAAGCCATCATCTTATTCGCTTACTGTAGCATGAGTACGATACTTGCATAAATATCGCCATTGACTCTCCTGAAGCAGGGAGATCAGCAGTACTGCAAATCCCAGCAGCCCTTTGATTAACACTACCTCACTCACAGGGATTTATTTGGGGTAGAGAGTATGGCAAATGCACCCAAAATATAGATCCTCTGTCATGAAAAGAGATCCAAATTTGTGGCAAAAGTTATTCAGTTTGTTGTTGAGCTTGGAGAAACTTCCCAATTTGGTAATTTCTTGTTAGCGTTAAACATTTTCCCAATGTATTGGATGTATTGTTTCCTTCCTGAATATTTGTAAAGTTGTTCATTTTAAGGAGGAAAAGGATCATTCAATTTTAAATACATAAAAAACAGGCAGAAAGGTAAAAAAGAACACCAGTGTTACCTGATTTTTGTGCCCTCAAAAGCAAAACTTGACGGTATTTCTGCAGTCAGGTGGATTTTTAAATTCTGCCTCCAAACAGCAACAACAACAGAATAAACAAAACTGCCAGTGTTTGGTTGGTAGCCACATCGATTGGCACATGTTCAGCTTGAGTTTAAATGGCGCTCATGAAACCGTCCCAAACCGACAAATACCATTCAGGGATTCAGTACTATGCTTTTCTAAGTTCTCGCGAGTTATATGCAACCAGTGCCGCAAACTACCCTACACCTCTGTAGGATCAGCTGCAGGAGTGACTTTCAATATACACAAACACACACGATTAACTTGTAGCATTTTAATTTTGTTTTTTAAATATTGCATATTGATATGTTGTATTTATTTTTTGATTTACAGGCCTGAGGTTTTTGGGGAATCAGAGCTCAGGTGCAACTCAGAATAACGTTGTAAGAGTTGGCACGATTGTTGTTGTTTTTTTGGGGGAAGGGGATGGGGGGGGTGGGTGTTTTTGGTTGTAATTCAGGAAATACTTTCATTAATTCAAAAAGAAAACATATAAACTGTAACGTGCTTCTTTCTATTCAGTCTATGGACAAAAACGACCGAGAATGAATGTTCTTCAGACTTCTGGATTCCAGTATTGTGTGTACTTTGATGGATTGAGCCCGGCCCTGTGTAACTTTAGAGGGCTTTGCGTTTGGCTGGTTTCGTGTGATTGTGCCCCGTCGTCATAGAAACCAGTAAAACCGACAAACTTGGAGAGCCATTCATACACCTCTTTGTATGAAAGAAAGACCTGAACTACTTTAAGGGCAATGAACTAGCAGGCTAACCGTATTATCTGTTTTATGATCTTTTCCTGTACATGTGTAAGTAGTATTTCCTGACAGAAAATCTCATCCTTATTTATTTTTAAATGTCTAATGTGAAATTCAACAATATAAAAAAAAATGGCTGTTTCTGACACCTACCCCGCCAAGTGTTAAAAATAACTACGTAGTATTAATCAGTTTTATCTCTGATTATCTTGATCCCTATTGTAGGACATATAAAGATGTCAGACAGTTTCACAGCCAGTTAAAAAACTCCTCACAGGAGCTTCGAGGCAAATTTTGCACTTTAATAGTTAATTGGAAGATTTAGTTCCCAGTTGCACAAAAAATAAGAAAAGTCTTTTCATTTGTTTTGGCCTTTCTTCAAATCCGATAAAGCACTTGAATTTCCAAGAAGAAACTCGGCTTAAGATCCTCAATTTAAAATAAATTTCTTGCTCAGAATTTTTGCAACAGTTGAGGCAGTTTGAGACAATCTCGTACTCCACTTTGTTGAACAATCACAGATGAGCTTCCCCTAAGATTTTGAATATCTTCAACCTTTTTGGTCTCAACTCAAGTCCAGGAATAGTGTGAACGTTGTTATTTAAAGGTGTATGAATGGGTTTCTCCAGCAGGCAGGCTTTACAGTTTTCTACCCGACGTCCTCCAGCCCAGCACCTCACATTGCTGTGCATATAAACTACCAGTGAAACATTTGTGTCTTGTTGCCCCGCCCCCACTATTTTAAGCAGTCTAGGATGTGTACAGACATGAGAACATAAATACCTGTATCAACTATATACTCTTGAGCTGAATCTTTATAAGTGCGTGTTGAACTTCAGTGTTTCCTCTACATTCATTTATACTTTACTTGTGTTTTGACTCGGCAGCTGGGCTCAACTTGGCTCGGCTACAGATAAAAAATTGTCCTTCACTTTAAGTTGAGCTTTGTGTAAGCTAAAAGCTAGAGGCTCATTGGAGTACTTCGTAAGGTATCCCAGAAAGCACTTAACGGTTTGTTGGCAGAGAGAAATTGACAGACATTTGGCCCACAGCATTCCACAAGGAGCCTGTCCAGGTCCCCTTACGGTTGCATTTTAAAGACTCCCTGAAGCTCTTTAAGAGCACATGCAATACTCCATATGTGCTAAAACAATCACCCACTACAGGTATTTCATTCCAGCATCTCAATCTCCTGCTTTTTCCAACTGTTGGCAAGAATTTTAGAGGAAACATTGAACTCTAATGACCTCCCGCCAAGTCTGTCTTGGCAGC